AAACTTTTATTGAAAACTACTAGATCAACTGCTTTTATACTTAGTATGTTTGTGCTTTGGTTGAACCACTTTCAGATTTGTTCATTTTTTGACGATATCATTAAATTCTCTTTAAGTATTTTTGTCATTTTGGGGATAAAATGTTTTTTAGTTTTGAGACCTTTCTAGGTTCATGATAAGATACGTACTGTCGTTATTTATCATTATTTTTAATTTGCATTCTAATTAATACAGATACATCGCCGAATGTATTATGATGACAAGTTCGGAGTTGGAGAGCCACTAAATGAAACTGGGGTATTTGGAGATGGATTAATTATCCGTGGAAAACTTTACTGTATATTAGCAACACCTGTTGATTCTGTTCACTTGCATCGTACTCTTGGAGAAGAACTTTACATGGCACCTATTGTATCATTCTCAGCTAATACTAAGTTGAAAACTAACGTAAGCATATATCAACACAAACTGGACATCTATGTAACAAATATTTTAAATAAAAAAATACAAGTTATTGCTACCCCAAAAATGATTAGTCCCTGTTTGAACTCAGTCTGAAATGGGGTACTTATGAATTGACTTCTGTGCATGTGCCTGTGCGTCCAGCTGGTCGAATGGCAGCCATTTTTGTGCTGAAAAATCATCAAAATCAAGTATTTTTCAGCTGTTTACAGATGGATTTTGTTCAAACTTGGTTCATAAATTAGACATTAAGGGCCTAGATGCACGTCGTATTGTTTTTCAGATTAGATTCAACATTTTTTTAATGAATGTGATTTTAGTGCTATATCTCTTAATAAGTTCATTATGCATCATGTCATAGATATACAGATGTATTGGTTTGACGATCTGATTCAAAATGGTCGACCGGTGGCCGTTTTTGCCAATTAATACTGTTCTCAATATGGAAAGTAGTTGTACTTAATTGCTATTAACAAAACTATATAACTTAGATTTAGATTTGATAACGAATGAGGACAGTGCTATGCATGGCTTGTTTTGCCCTACCAAGATACAAGTTCAATTGCAGGATGTGCAAACCCCTAGACTGATCATGTTCAAACGTTATGCATGCATATTGTTTGCTATCCAATTCAGATTAGCCAAATTATGACCATCATCAAAATCAAACGTTTCTAACACCCAAGAGCCAGTTGAAATCAAACTATACAAATCACTTATATATCGGTCAAATTTAGATTCAAGATCGCTAGCTGGTTTCAGTTTTGTCTTGGGTCTCTGGTTTTGTTAGTCCCCGTTCGGACGGAGTCCGAAAACGGGGACTTATGTTTTGCCCTGTGTGCGTCCGTCCGTCCGTCCGTCCGTCCGTCCGTCCGTCCGTCCGTGCGTCCGTCCGTCCGTGATCACCTGTATCTCGAACATGCATGGACCGATTATGTTCAAACTTCACTCATACATCACACATTATATGGGACATATGCACATGCATTTTTTTCATGATCCGATTAACGATAGCCGAATAGCGGCCATTTTAAGGCCGAAAATGCATCAAAATTGCACATTTTCACCATTCCTGACCCGGATCTCAGTTATGCATGGACGGATTTTGTTCAAATTTGGTACATACATTAAACATAATAGGACCTTGATGCACGTCATTTTTTTTTCAGATCAAGTTCGAAATGGCTGACTGGCGGCCATTTTGTTTTAAAGAATTCAGTTCTGGATCCGTATCCGAGACATGTCTGGATTGATCAAGTTCAAACTTCACACACACAAGGTACATCATGTCACAAATATGTATGTGCATTTGTTTCATGATCCCATTAACGATATCCAAATGCGGCCGCTTTAAGGCCGAAAATGCATTGAAATCGCACATTTTCACCATTCCGGACCCAGATCTCAGTTATGCATGGACGGATTTTGTTCAAATTTGGTACATACATTAAACATAATAGGACCTTGATGCACGTCTTTTTTTTTTTCGGATCAAGTTCGAAATGGCCGACTGGCGGCCATTTTGTTAAAGAATTCAGTTCTGGATCCGTATCCAAGACATGTCTGGATTGATCAAGTTCAAACTTCACACACACATGGTACATCATGTCACAAATAGATATGTGCATTTGTTTCATGATCTGCTTAACAATAGCGGAATGATGGCCATTTTAAGGCCGAAAATGCATCAAAATCACATATTTTCACAATTCCAGAACCGGATCTCAGTCATGCATGGATGGATTTTGTTCAGATTTAGCACAATGTGTTGTACATATGCAGGTGCATTTCGGTCATGATCTGCTTTGAATGTATATGTCACTCAAATATGAACGGAACGGGGACGTGTCATTGACAATGACTTGTCACATCTATGCCATATGTCACCTTTTCACATCATATGCCGTATGTCACCTCACATCATATGCCGTATGTCACCTTCTCACATCATATGCCGTATGTTACCTTCTCACATCATATGTTGTATGTCACCTTCTCACATCATATGCTGTATGTCACCTTCTCACATCATATGCCGTATGTCACCTTTTCACATCATATGCTGTATGTCACCTCCTCACATATGCCGTATGTCACCTCACATCATATGCCGTATGTCACCTCACATCATATGCTGTATGTCACCTTCTCACATCATATGCCGTATGTCACTTTCTCACATCATATGCCGTATGTTACCTTCTCACATCATATGCCGTATGTTACCTTCTCACATCGTATGCCGTATGTTACCTTCTCACATCGTATGCCGTATGTTACCTTCTCACATCATATGCCGTATGTTACCTTCTCACATCATATGCCGTATGTCACCTTCTCACATATGCCGTATGTCACCTCACATCATATGCCGTATGTTACCTTCTCACATCATATGCCGTATGTTACCTTCTCAGATCATATGCCGTATGTCACCTCACATATGCCGTATGTCACCTCACATATGCCGTATGTCACCTTCTCACATCATATGCCGTATGTCACCTTTTCACATCATATGCCTTATGTCACCTTATATATGCTGTATGTCACCTTTTCACATCATATGCCGTATGTCATCTTTTCACATCATGTCGTATGTCACCTCACATCATATGCCGAAAGTCACATCATATGCCATATATCACCTATTCACATCATATGCTATATGTCACCTTTTCACATATGCTATATGTCACCTTTTCACATATGTCGTATGTCACCTTGCATTATATGCCATATGTCACCTTTTCACATATGCTGTATGTCACCTTTTCACATCATATGCTGTATGTCACCTTTTCACATATGCTGTATGTCACCTTTTTCGCATCATATATCGTATGTCCCCTTTTCACATCATATGTCCCCTTTTCACATCATATGTCCCCTTTTCACATATGCGCTATTTACCCTTTTCACATCATATGCCTTATGTCACCTTCTCACATCATATGCCATATGTCACCTTCTCACATCATATGCCATATGTCACCTTCCAACATCATATGCCTTATGTCACCTTCTAACATCATATGCCGTATGTCACCTCACTGTATTTCTAATTACCTTCTTACATGTCATTGGTAAGATTACTTAATATCTAATTATTCCACTATTTTTGCAGGATACCAAAAAACAGTTCACTGTTTTGAATGATAGATCACAGGGTGGTAGTAGCCTTAAAGATGGATCAGTGGAATTAATGGTAAGCATTTTAATTGCATCAAACTGTCGAACATTTCTGTCATTTTTGGTGAAAAATTCTTTTTT